TGGCATGACGGATAGATATAATTTAGCAATTTACCAGAAATGGGAGTTGGGCCCCTCTTATGACTTTATCTAATATGTTCTCAATGGCTGCACAAAGCCAGATGCAAATAGATGCCCAATTTTTCCCATCACACTCTTGTTTTTAAACTGTAAAGAGGAAAAAAAGCTATAAAACCTTTTTTCATCACTACTTATTTTGTATATGAAGGGACTAAAAGATTTGGCACAAGGTAATGTCCTTGAAAGATGGACCTAAAACAAGCCCATCACTTTTATCTTGCCCTCAGTGTCATCTCACCAAAAAGTCTTGCCTTACTGTGTCTGTCTCATCACTGTATTCACATATTTACTATACTTGCCATTGTTAAATCATTTACCAAGTGGTTTATTGTTTATTTGTCAGTTTACCCCCCTATCCCACCAGGAAGGAGCTGCATGAACTTAGTGGCCACTAGTCTGTCCTGCACCCATAGCACCTAAAACAGTGATTGGCACATAGTAGGAGTTCAATAAGTATTTGTTTAGCAAATCAATATACTAAATAGTGTGTTTGCACAAAATGTGTGATGCTGTGTGACACCATTGTACACTTCCTGCTGTGTGCAAATGGCTTGTAGTAATCGAGAAATAAAGCTGATATTGTTTAATGTACATCATTCAAGCTTGTTAACCAGCGCCAAAACAAGAGCATTTTCTGAGCACTCTCCTTCCTCCAGAAATGCTCCTTTGTGAAGGTGTAATCTAGTGAGGAAGAAATGAGCATGCTATGTCGATTGACCATTATGATACAATCACACTGAACTTGTGTGTGTGCCAAGTGTGCACATGGTCTATGTAAAGTCTGCATTCTATGAGGTGTGATCAATAGCTGCCTACCAGGAAGGACCAGAGGTCACTGCACCCGCACAAACCCATCTCGGACACATGCAGGGAAGCTGTCATCAGGGCCTCTCACAGCAAGTCTTTGAAATTAAGGGGAAAATCTGAAAGTGCACATTATTAAAAGTGAGCATCACCACAGCCAAGCAGATAAAGTTAATTATACACCAAGAGGAACATTTTTATGCAGTGGGCATGGAACACATCACAGAAGCTTGTGGGGCTGGTCCAGGAAGCTGAGATCTGCTTAGAATGAAAGAATCCAGTGCTCTGAAACAGAGCATCCTTTTCAGAGCCAAATACTCTCACATAAAGGGAAAGTACAAAGGCTGAAAAGAAGTAAGAAGGCGTGCTTGGTAGGATCTCTAAATAAAACCAGACTGGAAGAGAAAAAAGCTTGTACAACAATATCACTGACTAGAGTCACCATGCTGTACATGACATACTTCAAAGTGGCCAAGAGAGTAAATCCTGAAAATGCTCATCACAAGGAAAAAGAAAAAACAACCCCAAAACAAACAAACCCCCCCCCCCCACCATTTTGTGACTTCGCATGGTGACAGACAGTAACTAGACTTTTGTGGTGATCATTTAACACTGCATACAAATCTTCAATTATTGTGTTGTACACCTGAAACCAATGTAATGTCATGTCAATTATACCTCATTTAAAAAAAGAAAGAGCTCGTAACACTGATAATAATTGAAGAAAGTATGATTTAAAAATAAACCTTACAATCAGAGCAATAAAGAAGACATATGTTAACTGAAAGAAACTAGACTTTTGGTGGGGAGCATGTAGCAGATTTTATAGATATTGAATTACAATGTTGTACACCTGAAATTTATGTTATTAACCAATGTTATTTCAATAAAAAAATAAAGAAAGAAGACACACATGTCCTTAGCTCACCATTGCCTGTTTCTATTAAGTGTTTTACTTGCCATGGGTCAGAATTCTACAAAGAAAAGATACATTTGTTTTTCCTCTGTGAGGTTACAAAGACCCCAGACTTCAAGCTTGAAGAGGGGTCTTTGTAAAACTAGTTAACGTACTCAAATCGAGTTAATGTCTATAGAGAGGTTGATGGAATGGGTGATTTACTGTTCAATATTGAATTGTCACTATGGGACAAAGAGCTGCTTTGCTCAGGCAAATCACAGCAACAGTTCAGGTTTGATTGGTTTCTCAGCAATTAGTGGTAACTGGAGTGCTAAAAAGCAAAGGAAAAGACAGAACTGTCCAGAAATTGGTCTCGTCTGTGCTGAGTGGAGAGCCTGGCCCCAGGAGCTGAGTAGGGGGCTTGGTGGCACAAGCACCTGCAGGAGGGGTGACTCCTAGAATCCCCTCTGATTTAGATCCTCTGACAATTGCATCCTAAGTTTGGTTATGGATCTATACTAGGAGAGTTGGAAACCAGTATATTCCACTCATGTATAATTTAAACTACCTTCTCTATATTATTGTCTGTATATACAGATTTTCCTTTAAACTTAATCCTGAGTTTGTAGTCTTATATCCAATTCTTGTCACAATTCTGAATCCCTAATATGATCATTTTGTTCTGTCTTCCTTTTCTGGTAGACTTGAGTTCATCCTCCCCCTTTTAAAATTGAAATAGTTCATGTCTCAGCTCTAAGTTTGATAACATTGGGTAATATTTATATTGGATTTTGTTTTAAGATGGGGTTCATGTGAAATAATAAATCAACTTACAGAAATAAATATTTTCACATAATTACCTGAGAAATTTATCCTGACATAAAAATGTGAAAACTGATGTATGAAGAGAATATGGGGCTCTTTGCCCCATATTAACAAAAAAAAAAAAATCCCGAGTATAAAAGTAAAAATCACTTCAGCATTGACTGTGATCAGTCCATTATGTTCATCCAAGAATGCTCATGGTCATGGGGATTCACCTTCCTGTCTGTGAGTTAAAGTAACTCCTTGAGCGGAAAACCTCCACTGGTGATGTAGCTTTCTAGAAACCTCCACAGTGAATAATGCATTGAAGAAAACATATCCATTATGAAACCATGAAGAAGTACTATTATTTTAGGAGGCAAAGAGTTTTATAGATTAGAAACTTTCACAATTAAATATTCAAAAGCAGAGCCTCAAAATGAAAAAGTAGAAAAATAACTAGGGGGAAATTTGCAACACTCGGCAAGTATTTAGTATCCTTAAGATGTGAAGAGAGTTTACAAATCAATAAGGAAAATTCCATAAAGGAATTGAGAAAGCAAAACAGTCATTTTAAAATCAAGGAATATATGTGTATATATTTAGTACTAATGTTAAAAGAATTTTACCACAAAATAATAAAAGAATAAAGGAAAAGCAACATTGCTATTGTTGCCAAAACTTAAAATGGTTACTAAATGTGTATTGGCAAAGAGGGAGACAGGACTTCTGTTTAATTTTGGTGGAAATGTAAATTGCTATATGATTTTGAAAATATAATAATATATGTCAAAATGTAGAACATTCAAAACCTCTTACTAAGTAATTATACTTCTAGACATTTGGGTTAAGAAATAACCCAAATCTTACTTAATCTTACTCTACGCAAGAGTAAGGATATGTGTACATAGCTGGTCAATGCTGTGGTATTTATAAGAGTGAAATAAAGAAAATGATACAAACTGATATCAATCAAGGATTGATGGGGGCAAAGTTGGTATGTAAACATAAAGGAATCCTATGTGGTCGTTAGAAATGGTTATATCAATCCACATTTACTGCCATGGAAAGATATCTCCAATATATGGTGGAATGATCAAAATAGTTTATAAGGTACAAGTATGGTATGATCCTATTAAAATATCTAGGTGAGTTTCAGTGAAGCTAAGTGTCTGTAGAATGTAAGTTCCATGGAAATAGTGTATTAGTGTTCTTCACTTCTGTGCCCCTAGTGCCTAGAACAGTTCCTGGTACTTTGCAACCATGCAATAATGTTGAATGAAAGAAAGAAAGAAAAGCAAGCAAGCAAGCAAGCAAGGAAGCAAGAAAAGAAAGAAAGAAAGGGGGAAGGAGGGAGGAAGGAAGAAAGATGTTTAGAAAGGCTTTCACCAATAATCTAATGTTGTTGTTAGTGGAGTGCTAGTAATTTTTTGTGTTCTTTATATTTTCTCTACCATTTAAATTCCCTTCAAAATGCTTATTTTATTTTAACCAAAACTGGTAAGATAATAAAAACTTGTGGTAATGTCTACTGCTGGTGAGAATGTGGCAGTTCCAAGTGTATTCGCTGGCTGTGTAAACTGGTTCAAACTTTTGGAATACCATTTGATATTAAATATCCAAAAACTGCAAGACATTTCTTTCTTTTGTCTATTAATCCTGCAAAGAAAAAATGCAAACTATGAAATGACCAATGCATTCAACCCTGGACAACCTAAACGTACATCTAAAGGAGAGAAGAGGAAAAGTAAATTATGGTAAATCCACTGTGTGGACACTTTCACAGAATCATTACTAATTCTGAAGCCTCCGTAGCAACACGAATAAAAAGAGGCTGAAAATGCAGGTGATTGAAACTATGCATAAATAACATGATGGTGCTGTTGTATTAAGACTGGAATTCTGGGTACTGTATTTTCTTAGAACGGCGGAAAGAACATTGGTTTAGAGCTACAGACAGAGATTTTTACTCAAGAATTGCTACATAAGCTTGATCGATCATGTTCCGTAACCTCTTGGTGCCTCAGTTTTATTATTTACAAAAAAGGGCTGATAGTACTATCTCCTAATATTGAGAGGATTAAAATGAGATGATGGACATAAAAGAAAAAGGCCAAAGAGTAGGAAAGGACTCAACAAATTGTAGCAGTTATTTTTAATTTTGTTGTTATTGTTATATTTTCAAAATCTTCAAAAGATTGTCAGCTTCTATCAATTACAAACGGAATGAACAATAAAGTAGCTAAAAAGGTAGGGAGGAAGATGTTCACGAAATCTTTTGAGTTTGGGATTTCCGGGGTGGAAAGCGAGGGAAAATGACAGCCAAAAGCTGCGGGCTAGGTGAGACGTTCCCGGATATGTCCAGCAGGGGTCGCTGCTGGTGGAGGTAGAGCCGGGATCGGAAACCGGGCTGGCGGCTGGCGGGAGCACTCGCGGACTCCTCCCGCTTCCGCCGCCCCGGCCGCTGTGAGTCGTTGCTGAGTTGCTATCTACTCTGAACCTCTCCGCTGCCGATATGCCGCTGGAGAACCTGGAGGAAGAGGGTCTACCCAAGAACCCCGACCTGCGCATCGCACAGCTGCGTTTCCTGCTCAGCCTGCCAGAGCACCGCGGAGACGCGGCCGTGCGCGATGAGCTGATGGCGGCCGTCCGCGATAACAGTGAGGCCCGCGGTAGCCGAGTCAGCGGCCTAGGCCTGGGCTGGCCCCGCGCTCCGGAGTCTGCCTGGTTCTTTTCCCGGCGGGGCTCCGGACCCCGGGATAGCCCTTTCCCTCACGGGTCCCCGAGACCAGGCCTGTCTTCTCAGACCCTGAGGACCTTACTTTTGTCGGGGTGTCTTGGGGGACCTCCAGCCTTGTTCTCAGCGGGATCTGCCCGCTGTGCGCCCTTCCTCTCTGAGAGCATTTCGCTGGGAAATCCTGCGGTATTGAGCCCGGTGCTAGTCACAAAGCAGTGGCTCATGACTTCTTGTCATTGGCGAGTGGTCCTGGGCTAGGGATAGTCCAACGGGAGAATTAGGCTTTCCTTGTGAAGGGGAAATTTGGGGTCGGTTCCTCTGGTCCCTCGTAGTAGGCAGTGGCGCGGACCTGTATGTTCTGTGACGTGTATCAGTCTGTATTAGCAAGCTTACCCTTTTACATGCTTGAAGACTGTCTTGGAACACAAGATGTCAAGAGCAAACCGAGGATTGCCCTCCACGCAGCCCTGGCAGCAGCCCTGATGCTGCAAGCGTCTGCGCTTTGCCCAGCCAGCCCTTTACCGAGCTGTACCCCATTCCTTTCTGATCGTGGGTGGGAGACTGGTGGAAGAAATGAGTGGACACATTTCAGGGTAAGAGGGTTGACCCACTCATAAGTCATGTCCCTCTTTTTGGCTCTCAGACATGGCTCCTTATTATGAAGCCTTGTGCAAATCCCTTGACTGGCAGGTAGACATGGACCTGCTCAGTAAGATGAAGAAGGCAAATGAAGAAGAGTTAAAACGTTTGGACGAGGAGCTGGAAGATGCAGAGAAGAATCTCGGAGAGAGCGAAATCCGCGATGCAATGATGGCGAAGGCCGAGTACCTGTGCCGGATAGGTGACAAAGTGAGTAGTGATGGTTTCTCCTCTCTGTATGGTCGAGAATGGGCACTATTGTAGGTTAATATCATCTTATTTTAAAAATCAAGTTACTGTTAAAAAGTTACGAAGGTAACATGCTTCCGTGACCTAGCGGAATGAATAAAGAAAAAGTAGTTTTTCTGCTACACCTTTTCAATCACCTGCCCCCCACACAGCAAGCAGCCAGACGTGTATTCTTTCCCATCTCCCTTAACACCAATAAAAACTTAAGTGAACAGAGACTTTTGGGTTTCTTACTGCTATTACAAAATTGGAATTATTTTCAATAGTTCACTTTTCTCATGTATCTTGAGTGGGAAGCATTAGTTCTGATGCATTTTAAAAATTACTATTTACACAAATATTAGTCTCCTTGTAAGAAACTTAAACATTGTCGTTAATGTTAAATCTCTATTAGGTCTTTTCTTTCTTCCATACCTCCTCAAAGGTAACCTTTTTAGTTCTTTTATTGTACATTTACAGGCATGTATATACCTGTAGAGATTAGGTAGTATTGTGTTTGAATTAAAAAAAAAAATGGTGTATCATCCTGTTTACTATTTCATTCAGTATTATTTCTGAGTGGTCTTTCCATATTCATGTACATAAATCTTGCTCATTCCAGTTAACTGCTAGCTAATAGCCCATTGCAGGGTTATGCCATGATTTCCTTAGCTACTCAGCTGTTTATTGATAGACATGTACAATATGTTGTTTTCAGCTGTTTTTGCTATTACAAGTTGCAGCTGTGAAAACATGCTTGTATATGCTTCCTTGTTTATATATGCTAATATTTCTTTAGGGTATATTCTTTGAAATGAAATTGCTGGAACAAAGAACAATTTTTATCTTAATATGAGTGGCCAGTTCCTGCACATAACAGCCAGCCTAATTTATCCTTCACTATAAGTGCATGAGTAGGATACCCAACAGTGTTGGATGTTTAAATTTTTAAAAAAATTTTAGTAGTTGTGTAATAGTGGTTAAGAAGATGGGTTTTGAAGGTCCTTAATTTTAAGCGCTGCACCCTAAAGTGTTTAGACAGCAGATGACATGGTGTTAATATAAAAATAAATACATTTTGGCCTCTTGAATCAGACAGGTTCTGTTTCTGGTTTCAGCAATTATGATTTGCTGGACCCTCAATTTCTTGATCTGTAAATAGGGATAATGATAGCTCCTGCTAATGAGGATTCAAGGTAGAGGTTAAGATCTTAAGACTACTATATGGTACAAAGTGCTTAAATGTTAATTAAATTTAAATTTAAAGCAAGTGTTCTTCTGATCATAAGTTTGAGATTGATCATGGTAAAAATTCAAAAATACAAAATGTTTAGAGAAGAGCAAGTGGTTTGTGTGGTTTTCTAGGTTGTGCGTATATGGCATTATTACATATGAATGAGAAACTTATATACACTATTGTTTCAGGCCTTGAGGAATTTTAAGGAGAATATGCTTGAGTCAATATCGGGGGGTTATAAATTGGTGATGTTCTAATATTGTATGTTTTTCAAGGGGCATTATTCTGAAAAGAACAGCTTTTATTTTTCTTCTTCCTGTTGACTTGCTTTTTTTCCTATCCTTTTTTGACGATTACTAAATAATGAGCCTAATGGATTTTTACTGTTAACTGTGTTACCACTGATTATAGTTACTATTCTTCATGGTGCTCAGTTTGTTCCAAATTTGTTCATGGAAGCTCCTTTAAGAAGGCTTCTTTGTTTTTTTAACATGATCTCATTAGTTGTACAGCAAGATATTACAGGCTCACCTGTTATTTTTCTTTACAAACCTGGAATCATCCATTTTTCCTAGGATCCCTGGTGGGGATAGTATTAATAGAAACCAAGATCTGAGTTCTGGGTGTGCCCATTACTGCCAGTCCCTTTTTATAAATTTATGATGCATAACTAATAATTATATGAAGTCAGATACATACTAGAAAGCATCAAGTATAAACACATGGTTTTATCCATGTGCATATTTGCAAGCAATGGAAACATTTTATCTCACCATGCTTTGAGATAGAATTGTACATTTAAACACTCAATTGTATTTTAATAGTAGTGACAAAGATAACATTTCCATCACCCTTTAGGTGATATGAATGATAACTTACAGTAATTTTAAAGTAGCATATTATAATTGTTAAAGAGAAAATTATTGAATATGTGGGGAAAAGAATATAGAAACAATTGTGAATAAATTATTTTTTTAATATTTTCTTCTAGATAGAATATAAGTATATACTTAGGAATATTTGCTGTATTTTTTTGTACTTTATGCAAGTGGAGAGAAGGGTATAATGAACAACTCTGCAATTACCACCCACCTTCAACAAAGATCAATTTATGCTTATCTTGTTTTCTCTCTATTCCTACTTTTACCATGCCCACCCCATCCCTTGTTAAGAAACTCCCAGACAGCTAGTAGCTGTCTTTTCTCACCTGTTGCCTTGTTTTGACAGGAGGGTGCTCTGACAGCCTTTCGCAAGACATATGACAAAACTGTGGCACTGGGTCATCGATTGGATATTGTCTTCTATCTCCTTAGGATTGGCTTATTTTATATGGATAATGATCTCATCACACGAAACACCGAAAAGGCCAAAAGGTACTTGAGAGCAGTTGAGATATATTCCCTCTAATTATGATAGTATAAGTAAGATTTATGTAAGAAATTTACCTATTTTCTTTCCACTATTATTAAATTTGGTCAAATGATTTATTTAGTAAAATATTTTCTTTAAATATCCTTTTGGTTTGAGTTGTTAAAAGTTGTTTTGTCCTTGAAAATAAAACTTGTAAAAAGTGGCATTGTCTACTTCCAGATTATGATCTCACTGATTTTTATTTTATAGCTTAATAGAGGAAGGAGGCGACTGGGACAGGAGAAACCGCTTAAAAGTATATCAAGGTCTTTATTGTGTGGCTATTCGTGATTTCAAACAGGCAGCTGAACTCTTCCTTGACACTGTTTCAACATTTACATCCTATGAGCTGATGGATTATAAAACCTTTGTGACTTACACTGTCTACGTCAGCATGATTGCCTTAGAAAGACCAGATCTCAGGGAAAAGGTAATGACTGAATCTTTAATATTCATATTTAAAGCTTATGTCATGTTTTTCTAACTTAAACACACAAAAACCATTAAAGCATACCCTTTGTTTTTTTAAAAATATTCCTAGGTTATTAAAGGAGCAGAGATTCTTGAAGTGTTGCACAGTCTTCCAGCAGTTCGGCAGTATCTGTTTTCACTCTATGAATGTCGTTACTCAGTTTTCTTCCAGTCCTTAGGTAAGGATAGAGTTGATTGTTTTGATTATCTGTCTTTGCCTTATTCCTGATCCCTTTAGCAGAGAACCTAAAATGACTTTTCATGTATATGAAAAAAAATAGTGTACAGATAGCTGTAGGTCTTTGAACAGGCTAATCTTTTGCCCATTTTTGTTTAGAGGGAGGTTAGCAGACCATGACCTGTTTTTACACTGCTCAGGAGGTGAGATTAATGTTTACATTTTTAAAGGATTATTAAAAGAAGGGAAAAGAAGAACGTGTGACAGAGACCTAATGGTTTTCAACTGGAAGAATTTACTGTCTGGACCTTTGCTGAGGAAGTTTGCCAGCCCCCTGGTTTAGCGTCTTAAAGAGGTGAAGGGCAGAGTGAGCCAATGGTTCTGAATACTAAGATTTATGGGGAAAAGTGTGAGAGAGTCCTTAGTGCCCTAATGGGTTGATACTTAATTGAGCTTTGAATTCAACAATGGGTTATTCTTTGTGCAGTAGACAAATCTTTGTGCTGATGTGCCGATCATTTTCAAGGGCTGTAGGTGGAGAAAATAATCTGTTGAAAATACTTGTGGGGTGCCTTCAAAGCTAGTTTACAGCGATCCTACCTACATAAATGTACTTGTTTTTCTTCTTGTCCCCACTCCTTCCCACAGCCAGATCATTTAGTTTCCTACAATGAGCACGAATTGCTAAGATGAGAAAAGAAAGAACTTCCATCAAGTCAATCCAGGGGTCCTTCCCAAAAGTGCTTCCTAAGACTTAAAAGAACTTGGGACTGACATACAGGGGTGGGCAAAAGTAGGTTTATAGTTGGGAGTATGTGAAACAGTTTACTCTTGTATGATTATTTATTAATTATTGTATTTTTCATATAAACAACTCTAAACCTACTTTTGCCCACCCTTGTATTTCATTGTTAATGCTGCAAACTGCAGAAAATATTTGGTTAAATGTGTAGGTAGCATTCACAAAAATTGGAGTGGGAAACACTCCAAATGATGGTCGTTCTGTTTTGGAGTGAATTTTGGCCCAGTGTTTATGGAGTGCTTTCTCCATGCATAAATGCTGGCAGCTTTATGGGAGTTCATACTTTTTACCTGATGTAATGTGGGAATAGTGCTCTTCAGGTGTGCTGAATTGCTTGGCCTTATCTTCTTGTACATACATGGGTGCATTTCCCCCAAGGTTGTATGGCAGAATGGCTCTTCTCCCTTTCTCATGCTCATGGTCGTGATTCTGCTCAAATGTGTTTTTCTTTCTTGAGTTTGAACAAATAACTTCTCTGCATTACTGGAGCCCTTATTTTATGCCCCTTCCTCTCTTTTTTATTTCATTTTTTTGAGATATACTAGCGGGGACCCCAAAAAACCCAAACTTATCTTCTGGAGGATGGGCCCCTTATAGTATAGGCTTCCTCCACTAGGCGAGTGTTCTAGGAACGCACCTGTATCAATGTACCAGCTGGTATAGTGAGAGGCTGCGTTTGGCTTCAGTGAATATTTTTTGAAGACTCTCAGTGTGGTTGCCCATTTCTTGATGGGTAATTTTTAAGTGCACCTGCCCACGCCATCCTGAGTGTTCAGTAGTTTTTGAGCAAAAATGGCATGACCCTCGTGCCCTACCCTCCCTGTTCATCGATCTCACCCCAAGTGACCTTTCGTTTCCCGGGATGAAAAAAAGACCTCAAAGGGAAACGTTTTGCTGCTGCGGAAGAATTGAAACAAAAAATGGCAGAAGCACTAAAAGGCATCAGAATCAACAAGTTCAAAAATTGTTTTGAGCAGTTGGATAAAACGTTTTGATAGGCGTGTTGCATCAAATGGAGAGTACTTTGAAGGTGACTGAAGTTTAAACATAAGAATACAATTTTTTTATAAATAAATTCCATGGGGTTTTTTGGGGTCCCCCCTCATTAATTATATACCTTAAAATTCACCATTTAAAAGTATAATTTAGTGGGTTTAGTGCATGGACAAGGTTGTGCAACCATTACCACCAACTGCAGAACATCTTTATCACCCCAGAAGGAAACCTGTACCCATTGGCAGTGACTTCTTATTACTACCCCCAGTCCCTGGCAACCAGTAATTTTTCTGCCTCTGGACATTCATATATGGCCTTTTGTGCCAGGCTTCTTTCACCTGGCACAGTGGTCTCACAGGTCATCCATGCTGTGGCATGTGTCATATCAGTGCTTCATTTAGTTTTATGGCTGAGTGATAAAGGCCATTGAATGGATGTACCATATTTTATTTATCTGTTCTATAGTTGGTAGACATCTGGCTTGTCTACAGGTTTTGGCTATCAGAAATACGCTGTAATGAACATTTGTGTACAAGTTTTTGTGTGAACATATTTTCATTTCTCCTGGGAATATACCTGGTAGTGGAATTGCTGGGTTATATGGTAACTGCTTGATTAATGTTTTGAGGACCTGCCAAACTTTTCCAAAGCAGCTATACCATTTTACATTCCCACCAGCAATGTGTGAGAATTGGGATTTCCCCACATAAAATCCTTATTATTGTATCTTTTTAATAGTAGATATCTTAGTAGGTGTGAAGTGATACCTTGGGATTTTGATATGCATTTTTCTGATGACTAGTGATTTCGAGCATTTTTTCCATGTGCTTATTGGCCATTTTCCCCCCTTTTTAAAACTTCGCATGTTGTTTTGTGACTTTTTTTTCTTAGAGTTTGTCTCCTCTGCTAACCAGAGTTACTGGGAGCAGACTTGATGCTTTTTTTTTTATTTGTGGTGATGCCGACACCAGCACTTCCTGGTGTGTTATTGAGTGCTCCATGTAAATGCCTACTGTATTAATTAAATCAAAAAGGAAAAGGGGGGCAAAGGGTGCTCTCCTGGCACAGTGAGCAATGGCTTTTGGAAACCTGAGTTGTTAGGGTGTTAGCCTCATCCCACCGTGTCCATTGCTATTAACAACCTTTTATTTAAACATTTTGGATGAAACTTTTTATCCTTACCAATTTTGTACATTTCCCAGGTGTTTTAAATGAGGAAGACAGGATAAATTTTCTTTACATGACAGAGTCATCATTATTTGTATTATTCTTTTAGTGTACTGAGACACTAGGGTTTGTTTGGTTTTATAAGACTGCTTCTCCAAATAGTCATAGGCTTTAAGATATTTCATGTGAAAAATGAAGTAACATCCTTTTTTATGTAATACCTGATTGTTTTTTAAAATTAAACTAAGAAAGTGAGAGATCTTATATCATCCTATCCCCAAATCCATACACACATTTACTCACACATAAAATTCTCCCTAAGATAGCTATTTAAAGATTCTTATATATCCTTCCAGACCTTTTATTCACTTATGTGTACTTTAAAAAACAAAAACAATACACCCCACCAAAAAACCAAGGTTCTATGTATACATGGAATAATTTCAAGCAGTATCACTTAAAGAGGAAAAAGGCCTTCCTTAACCACAGTCCTTTCTCTAGAGTCAACTGCTTTTAGCAGGTTTCAAGTGTGTTCTTCAGGCTCATTAGTATCCAGAGACACGTGAAACACCTTTAAACATGTGGGTGTATTTTACGTGTTGTTTTCTAAGTAGCTTTTTTTCTCTCCACAATATAATGCATTTATCTTTTCATGTCACTATACAAATAGCTGGTCATTGAGTACTTTTAAGTGACTGTCATGCATCAGGCACTGAGTATATGTGTCGTGGCCGATAGAACAGATGGCATGCCTTGGAGCTTCCATTTCTTTTAAGGACTTGCTAGTACTTACTCTCCCACACTCTATTCTCTACTGATAAAAAATTATGTTTTCAATTTTTCCCTATTAACAAGCAACCTTATTTTTGAACACTCATTTACAATACATTCCACTTTTGCTTGTTATTTCCTTAGGGAAAAAAAAACAAATTTTGCAAAGGGTAAATTTCATCTTGATCACTGTTGCCCTCCAGATATGTTGTGCCAGTTTACATTAACACAATTTTTACTTCTCTAATTTTAACATCATTTGAGAGAATCTGTCCCCTTCCCCTCGTACCCTTAGCAAGTTTGAGAGAAGTCATTTTATTGATGTATGCTTTTTTTTTTTTTTTTTTTTTTGGCCAAAGATAGTTGTTTCATTGAACTTTTTAGTCTTTTATTTTTAAGATTTTATTTATTTTAAGAGAGAGGGAAAGGGAGGGAGATGGAGGATAAGAAACATCACTGTGAGAAAGAAATAACTATTTGCTGCCTTCTATATGTACCCTGACTGGGCACTTAACCCGCAACCCAGGAATGTGCCTTAACTGGGAATCACGCCAATGACTTTTCACTTTGTGGACCGACATCTAACTAACTGAGCCACACCAGCCAGGGCTTTGTCTTCTTTTAAATGGCACATGAGTGATGTAAGAAGATATTTTATGTTGGGACTATGGATGTGACCCATCCTGACCAGCAAACATTTTTTCCTCATCCTATTCTGTAGGTTTTCTTTGCCATATTTTTATCAGTTTTACTGAGGCATAATTGACATATAACACTGTGTAAGTTTAAGATGTGTGTAGTAATTATATTTTTATAATTTTTTTTTAGTGAGAATGAGCGTCATCTTGTGTTTAGGGCTGTTGATCTTCATGTTGCTAAATTGTGTTTCCTTTTCTGCTGTGATGTTGACCATTCTTTGCTTCTTGCCATAACTTTCTGGCCTCATCCTTTGTTAGACTTCTTGGTACTGACTGCCCTAGACTTACTTAGTCATTGCTCTTTTCTCTGTCTGCATTCTGTCATCAAATATACCCGGATGGTAGTGATTCCCTAGTTCCTGTCTCCACTGAGCACCAGACCCATGCCTACCTGTCTCCTTGATGTCTTCACTCAATGTCTAATATGTGGATCCACTTGAACACTGCCAAAGAACCCCATCCCAATCCCAACTTGTCCCTAAAAAATCACTTTCAAAGACAAAACAAAGTCTGCTTCTTCTCCAGGAATTTTTATTTTCTTTAAGCCAGAAACAAAAGTGTATTCTTGATTGATTTCTCTCGCTTACCTTCCATACCCCTGTAGCTGTCTTCCTACTACATTCTGAATCTATCCTCGGTATTTTTGAGCTTAGCCAGGCGCTTCTTGCCTTGGGACCTTTGCATCATTCACACTTCTCTGTGCCTCTTGCTCTCAGCTTGCCCAGCTCCTCGGGACTTCCCTGTCCACCTCAGTCCAGGGGAAGGTCTGCTACTAACATTCCGTCATATCATTGTTTTGTTCATGTCACAGAATTTGGTAGTATCTCAGAGTATCTTATTTGTTCATCTTTCTCTGCCATTTGAAAATGTAGTTTCTGTGGCAGCAGTGATCTTGTCTTCTGGTTTACTGCCATATCCTCACTATTTACAGTAGTGATATATAGTAGTTATTCAGTAAAATAATTTGTACTTGTGTGGCTTGCTCATTAATATCCTCTGTACATTTTACTGTTCAATTAATCTTTTTCTTATTGACTTATAAGAGCTCTTTATAGATCAAGGCTATTAATTCTTAGCCTGTTATAAATATGTCCTCTAGTTTCTTCATCTGAAAGAGTCTTATAATTTGTCATCTTATTCATTGCAGCTGTTGTGGAACAGGAAATGAAAAAGGACTGGCTTTTTGCTCCTCATTACCGGTACTATGTGAGAGAAATGAGAATTCATGCATACAGCCAGCTGCTAGAATCATATAGGTCATTAACCCTCGGCTATATGGCAGAAGCCTTTGGTGTTGGCGTGGAATTCATTGATCAGTAAGTTTAAATTTACATCATATTAATTTTTTTTAAAGTTGCCTTTTAATGTGTGAATTTGTATATTTTCTCCCATTTTCATTGCTTCCCTCAATAAAAATCTTAAGAATTTTTCTTAAATTATCAAACAGCTATGTCTATCACTTCTGCCTTCATGATGTGACCCTTCTATTAGCAGAGTTGTAGAGAGGGTAAACGATTTTGCAAAAAGTATTAGACCAGTTGTTATTAAAGTAGTCTTCCGCGCCTCCTCTCTGGACTACACTGCCACAACAGGAATGATGTTTAGACCTCTCATAAGTCACAGGTCATGTTTCCTCTGATAAAAATGCCTTCCAGTTTTTAGGCATGGCTGCAATTCTGGTCAGATTGATTGTTAAATATGGGGCTGGTAGCCCTTGAATGAATGACTCATCAAATACTCATTAAGCCATTACAGCATGGTTGGCCTTGTTAAAAATCACTGTGGACTTTTATTCTAGTTGTAGAGGAGAGTTGACAGTAAGCAAATACATATATAACGTAGTTCATAATAGAAATGAGTCAACAGATGTAATAAAATGGAATAGAAAGATGTGCAGGACTGCAGCATAGTCGTGATGAGGAGGGACGGCGGCCATTGGCAGATTTTAAGCATGGGAATGATGTGATTTCTTGGTCTGTCTCCCACAGACCAAGAAAACGAGACGACCAGTTTGGCTGTTCAGTAGCTCATGGAGTTTTTCGGTGGCCTGGATGAGGGTAGTGGGAGTGGAGTTGAGAAACAGATATTCAGAATCTGCTCTCCATTTGGTATCAAGATTAGCAAGCCCCAAACATAAGTCTGTTAAATGTTCATGATGTAGTTTTCTGTGGCTCACAATGAAAAAGTGATGTTTATATAGTTATTTTAAGTGAAGCTGCATTTCACTTAAGACGATTTTTCTTTTTAGTGGTTTTCCCTAATAGTTTGTGGAAAATTCCTAATGTGCGTAAAATTCTGAATTACACAGTGAATTCCCATATATCCTTGATTCTGTAATTAACATTATGTTTGCTTCCCAACACACCTGTTGATCATCACATATCTGTTAACTATTTGAAAGTTAGTTTCAGATCCCTGTTCATTTTCTCCCTAAACATTTTAGTAAGTTTATCAGTATTTGTTTATGGGCTTTTTTGAGGTATATTTGCATTCAGCAAAATGCATAGATCTTAAGTGTAATCCACACTCCTATGGAGCCATCATCAGAGATACCCTTATTCTCTTCCTTTAAAGAAAAAAGGCAGTGGTAGTCATTTTTCTGTTTTAAAAATTATCCTTTTCAAAAGAGAAGGCTGGTATCACTGTGTTGGTTTTGTTTCATTTCTGAATTAACTAGTTTCTGAGATTTGTCTGATAACCACTGCCCACCAGAGTTGGTTACAAGGATGAGGGGTGGCCATTATGGTTTTCATGAATTAGTGGAAGAAGTGAGTAAGTGCATGGAAAAGAGGGGGTTGGCCTGCCTTCTTCTAACTGCCAGTAAAGAGCTGTGTGGCCTTGGTCAGGTTCTGTTCCTTTTTCATTTTCTTAACTGTGGCATGGAGGTAATGAAGCCATCACGAATTGGGGTAAAACGAAGCTCAGAATCAGTTTAACATCTGAAGCAGGACAGTGCCATTTAGACACACCGCAGTATTCTTTAAGTCATTATAGTGATACCTGCATCGAAGGTAGGTGGCACATTTCAGGATAGGTAGTATGTACAGTGTAGGGGGTATTTGAATTGTTTAGTGTTTGTTTTCCGTCACTTTCTAAGACCAGTTCTAGAGACAAAGGTTATACCACTTGGCTTTAATTATTGTGACCTGGAAAGGCCTCATTTTAAATTTCTGATACCTGCTTCACTTCTAGGTTTTCAGGGACTCTTTATTATCCCCTGAAATCCTTTTTAAAAAATGGGCTGATCTAGTAAGTTTGAACATTAATTCTGCATCAGTGTTTCATTTTTACTTCCTTAGACTCAGTAGGAAAGGAAGGGGCCAACAGTTGAGTCAACACCATTTGTGTTGATATGTTTAAGGTTAGGAATCATGTCCATGGGCTGTGTTCCACGATTTTGTTGGTAAGTCTTTTCTTTGAAACTTGGAATGAATATTTATTCTAGAGGTGTTTATTCAGTAAATACTCTGTCATTACTAGATATCTGCATATGAGGCACCATGTGGAGGGCTTGTAGTGAAGCAGAGGCAGGGGAAGATGACTGTCTTGGGATATGTTTGATTAGCACCCACGGAGATGAGAAAAAGGTAATTTAGATCTAAAGCAAGGAGTGGGACTTTCAGTGCCAACATGGGTGTTAGGAATTAAACTTTTTTGTAATCAGAAAGGAAGCTGCCCAGATTACTCTTGGCATGGAATTCAGAATGAGCATAACTGGAAGTCAGAATCTGATGCCACTGCCTGAGAAATGGACACGTCCACAGATGGTTTCTTGTGGATGTTTAGACTGAATGTCATTGCATGTTTAGGATTTTTATAGGAAGTGATGGAAAAAAGGGCTTTCCAGACAGAAGAAGTAACACAAACTTAGGGATGTGTTTGAGAAACAAGTGGCCTAGTTGTACTGGATGGAGTGTGTGGTGGGAAGTACAGGGAAATCCACTGAGATAAGCCTAGAAAGATACCAGGTTAGCTCTAAAGCAGGATCTTCAATGACACCCTAAGGCATTCTTCCTTTACCCCTGCCTAAACTGGTCTAGGGATAATAGGATGGAAAGCAGCAGCCAAATTGTCAGCTTTGGTGTTAGCAGCCAGCCTTGAGAGCCGAACAGTAGGTCTAAGCTCAGCAGAGGGCAGTCTTGAGTCAGTTGGCCTGTAAGTCAAATCCAGTGTATTTCTCTGTATCTTGCTGCCCAGTATCTTGTTACTAAATCAGAACATCGGTATTCTTCAGAGGTTTTCTACCCTGTTCTATAGATGTGGGTAGGGCTAAGCTGGTGGTGATTAAACTTGATTGTGTAATTTTCTCTGTGTACTTCAGTCCCAGAACAAGACTTGCAAATGGGTTTAACAGCTGTGTTCCAGAAGTGCAGCTGTTTACCTGGAATACAAATATAAGTGAGTTTAGAAGCAGTGCTGATCTTTAATTTTTAGATTTTACCTAAAGCCACTCAGTTATATAACTCAAAAACTAGCAATTGAAAGAGGGAATGGACATTGCAGCAATTGGATCAAATATATTTTGATTGAATGTAGAAATAAAGCAGGCTGTATAGACATGCTCCTATTCTTGGTAGTTTAGGATAATTTCTAGCTTAAAATCTTCAACAGCATAACTTAAGGCATAGTGAGTCTTACACCAGGGACTGACCAGTTGCAACTAGTTATGGCATTGATTCCTTTCAAATCACAAAGTAGTACACTCTACACACTTTTTCATCTAATTGTAGTGCTTGCTGTTCAATAAGCATGGTGTTTGCCTGTGACCTTCCTCAACAGTGTGTTAGATTTTATTCTGCCCAATATGGTAACATTTCATTGTAGCTTTTAACTTGCAGTTGTATTCAGTCATTTGTCTGATTTGTAGTATTTTCTACTTTATACAGCAGACACCTTTTATCTACACTATCTTTTAGCTTTTGACTTGGTTTTGGTGGTATTTTCTTTCCTATGTAGAAATTCTCTTTACATAATCAAGTTTACCCATTTTTCTTATGTGGTTTTTTAGTCTCCCTCAACACCATTTATTGATTAAGCCAACCTGTCCCCATTGATTAGCAGTAGCACTTCTGTTATATATTTGACTCAGTATTTAGAGTTCGATGTTTTAGTATCTGGAACAGTAATATGTTACATAATTTTTATTTGAAATCTGTTTTTTTTTTTATTAGAAAGACTCATATGAATCTCTAAACACAGTTCAAATAGATGTTTGTTTTAAAGGAGTCATCTTTGCATTTACTCTCTTTAGTAGCATAGAGCTCCCTTCATAGAGCTTTTGTACATTTCTAAGCATTAACTTTTCTTCCCATGTCATGTGGTGGTAGACTGTCTTTGGAGAGTGTCACCACTGATGCTGGTTTTTGAGGTATATGTGTGACCAATAACGATGCTGTTTAAATAGCTGTATTAATGGTGAGGTCTGGATCATGACTGGATATAGATGCTCAGAAATACCTTTTTCACATTCACACTAGATTAACACATCTTCACATTCCTGGTCCTTATTTATTATAGCATGTTAATTACTCCCCCCCACCCCCCGCTCGTATTCTGAAGGATTTTGAAAACCCTGAGAGTTACATGCTCCTTAACAGTTAAGTTGGAGGAAACTAGGCAGTTTAGTAAGTACCCCAAAACTTCCAATAAATCTTGTTAATTTTTTTATTTTTGCTAACTCACTGTTTATCTCTGAGCACTTCTGCAGCTCTGAAGACTTGCTATGAATGCATTCTTTAACATCTGTGTTCCACCTGAGTATGAAACTCTAGGGTCATGTTTATTCTGGTAGATGACTTAATCTTTGTGGATAATCCTGTAACACCCAGAGACCTCCTCAACTCCTGTATATTAACAGCTAAGGAGTGAGGCAAACTACGTTTCCTTGAAAGACAATCGAATCACATATTTAGTGCACTCTGTACTTTTCTAAGATTCTACTTAGGGCTAACACTAAAGGCCTTTTTCCCCCCCTCTCAATTAGGGAACTCTCCAGATTTATTGCTGCTGGAAGACTACACTGCAAAATAGATAAAGTGAATGAAATAGTGGAAACCAACAGGTTTGTGTATTATTTGTAATACTTCCCAGAATAAGGGGCACTCTTAAGTGCCTCCTTTTTAAAAACAGGTCAATGATTGCTATGGAGTAATGTGACTGGGAAATAATTCATTTTTTTCTTGAATTTACTTGTAGACCTGATAGCAAGAACTGGCAGTACCAAGAAACTATCAAGAAAGGAGATCTGCTACTGAACAGAGTTCAGAAACTTTCCAGAGTAATTAATATGTAAAACCATGTAAACAAAGGATTTCCTTTGAAGATAATTACTTGGAATTTTTATAGCTTAACTATGTGTCCAATTCAACTAAAATAAATACTGTGTTGTTTCTGTCAGTTTACCTTTTTTCTTAATCTACATTAACCATGCAGTCCAGTAATGTTAAAACAATGTCCTTTTATGGCATTTAAACATCTCTGGTGTAATATGGTTACAATCAGAGGCTGTATAGTACCTGAGTTCAGATCCTGACTGCCTCATCAGTAATGTAGGGATAATTAATACAAGCCAATTATTTCTTCCCTTTAAGCCTCCTGAATTTTAGAAAGAAGAGTATATACTATGTTTTGTAGGCCAAAATTAAACAGTGTCTTCCACTTAGTACACAAAAGACAGAAGCCTTCACTCGAAAACAAGTAACTTGAGGCTGCCATAACCCTGGATTCCAGAATGAACCAAGGCCAATCTCAAATATAGATATAAAAACACCTATATAATTTTGACAAAGGGAATTTTTTTCCTCCAGCCACCAAAACCATAGCTATAGCAATGAGGAAAACAAAGTTCTCAGTTTTTCCTCTCCAATTATAATTTAAACTCAGTGAGTCAGATAGGGATTATTAGTGCTATGAGTGAAGAAACATAAAACCTGATAAAGGAGACAAGGTGCAGTAGGGTATGGAGGGCTATCTTCTATGGGGTATCATAGAATGCATCTCTGGTTAAGGTGACATTTGAATAAAGAGGAGGGAGAGACCAAGCAGATATCTAGAAAAAAGAGATGGAATGTCACTGGAGATTTTAAGCAGAGTAATGGCCTGATTTGATTTACTTTGTGTCATTCTGGCAATGGCAGTGTGGGCTGTTAGAAACAGTTCGATTTGCTAAAAGAGTAGAATGGGGAGAGACTCAAGATGGCAGAGGAGTAAGTAGAAGCTACCCTAACTTCCTTCCAGGACCAGCGTGGAATTACAACTAAATTGTAGAGAAATCATCCAGAAAAACCAATAGAACAATAGCTGGGGAGAAGTCTTAAAACCATGGACAGAGAGAAGAAACCACTTCACCACAGTGTGACTGGTAGAGTGCTGAGGAGATGCAACAGGGGTGGCTGGGCTCTGGGTGGCAGCTGAAGTGATAGAGGGAAATTCAGTGGCCAGGGGGTTCCCCCTGAAAAATGTGGAGTCTAAACCCTAAGCTGGGCTCCCCAGCCTACCGCACCAGAGCCAAGAAAGGAATGCAGGTAGCACCCACCTATGAAAAGCAGCAGGGTTTGTCTGCCAGGGAGAGATGGATAGAGTCATGGAGCCTTTTAAAGGGCCAAACAAATAATTTTGTATGCAGGCACTTACCCTGGTATCCAGCAAAGGCGGTGCACAGTGGATTGGAGACACTGGGGAAGAGCCTGGGGATGGAGGCTTTGGGGAGAGAACTGAGGGAGCAGCCACTGAGATCCCTGTGCTCAGTCATCCGCCAAACCTCCAAACCATAGGCAGCATCTTGCTCAGGCATGATGCTCCCCTCCCAGTGGCATCAGCCTGAGGGGAAGCAATAGCCCCATCTACAGGAATTAGTCTGCCCCACAGTGTGCTTCAACCTGACTGCTGGTTACAGATTGACTAGATTAACAAAGGAAGGAGATAGCCACAGGCTGTAGATCTCTGGTAGTATCCAACAGACTGCCTTGGGCCAGACTAGGACACCATCTGACATCACCAGGGGAGAATCCAAAGAGAAAACAGTGAGATGAATTCCACAAGTCATTTTCATGATTTGCACTATTTCCTCTCTTGCATAGCTTTTTAACGTTTATTTCTTCACCTGAAAATTTGTGCATATTAGGTCTCTAGTTTTTATATGTTTATGTTTGTTTCAAATGTTATATTTTGCTCCTCCCTTTTCTTACTCCATTTTACTTTCCTCTTATTTTCATTTTAAATTTTATTTCTCTTGCTATGACTTATTTCCATTCTATACTTCACCCTCCTCCAGCTTTTCAAAAACATTCTTCTTGTCATTAGTTATTTCACATTTTTCCCGTTCTTAAAAAACCCTTATTCTCTCTCTACCTTTTTCAGTCTTTGCTCCTTGGTTGTAGATATGGTGGCGGTTGTTGCATTTCTCCAATTTTATTTCTAGGTCTTCACTACTTTTGTTATTTCAAATCTCAAGTTTTACCATTCCCCTCTCCTACTTGATTTTGCCTTCCTCCTCCCCTTTCACTCTTTAAAATTTTAATTTTTCCCTGTCTTGGCCTTGTTTTCCTCCTCCTTTGTACTCCTCCTCCCGCTGTCATCTCAATCACTCCTTTCCCCTAGACATCTCTTAACGCTTTTCTGTTTTCCCTCTTATTCCCCTCCCACCTATATTAATGTTTGCTCATTGTTGATAGCGATGTAGTGGATCTTTTCCTCCATTTTGGTTCCTTTTATCTCCTACTTTTAAAAGAAATTTTATTTTTATTTTTCTTATTTTTTAATTTGTTTAAACTTAATATTACACTTCCCGCCTCATCCATTCTGCCTTCTTCCCTCCTGCTTTTATTTATGATGTAAATTTTTGTTCCTCTCTTTGCCATGTTCCTAATTCCCTGTTATTACTGCTCCTCCCTCTACCCTCTCAAAATCATTTTTCTTTCAGTTAATCATCTCATACTCGTTTTTCCTTTTTTATAATATTCTTAATTTCACACCTTTATTAACACGGGCTCATTTGCTGTTGATAGTGTGATTATAAGCAGGGGTTAATTTTGTGGGTGTGGATTTGTTTCCTGGGCTGTCTGGTTTTGTTCTGGCAGCACATACACAACAGCATACAAGATGTGGGTGGAACGACTCTCAATCCAGTTGGAGCTAAGGACCCACTATAGAACGACCCAACAACAACCAAAACCCAGTTACAGCCAGAGGGCAACACACAAACGGCATAAAGCGCATCCCAAGAGGATCAATTTCAGGCAATCAAGGAGACTGCACAACTGAATCCTACAAGTCTACTACCACAGAAGATCACACCACAAACACGGAGTCAAAGTAGATCATTCTAAATAGAAGTAGAAACAAGAAGAGTCCCCTACAATGGAAAGGGACCACCACCAATCAAAAGGAAAGGAGAAATCCCCAGTAAAAGTGCTAAATGAAATTGATGTAAGCAAACTATCAGACATTGAGTTCAAAATAATGGTTATAAGGATGCTCAATGAGCTCAGTGAGAACTACAGGGAAGGTACAAGGAAATTACTGAACACTGCACTAGCATGACAAAAGGACATAGAAAATATCAATAAGAGCCAGGAGGAAATGAAAAATACAATATTTGAAATAAAGAACACAGTAGAAGGAATTAAAAGCAGGCAAAATGAAGCAGAGGATCAAATCAGTAAGCTGGAGGACAAGGTAGGAAAACATTCCCAGAAAGCAAAAAAATGAAAAAAGACTAAAAAAGATTGAATAGGTTTTAAGGGAGCTGTAGAACAATATGAAACATAGTAATATCTGTAACATAGGGATAACAGAAGGAGAAGAGGAGGAGCAAGGGGTAGAAAACCTATTTGAAAAAGTTATGATAGAAAACTTCCCTAATTTGATGAGAGAAAAAGTCATGCAAGTCCAGGAAGGACAGAGGATCCCAATCAAGATGAATCCAAAGAGACCCACTCTAACACATCATAATTAAAATGGCTAAATGTAAAGACAATCTTAAAGGTAGAAAGAGAGAAACAGCTAGTAACATACAAGTGTACTCTGATAAGGCTTTGAGCTGATTGCTCAACAGAAACACTACAAGCCTGAAGGAAATGGCAAGAAATATTCCAAGTAATGAAAGACAATCAACTGCAACCAAGACTACTATACCCAGCAAGGCGCTCATTTACTTTATTTTTTTAATGCAGATTGATTTTATTTATTTTTTAAAATGTCAATAAATTATAAAATACTAAAAAAATTTAAATCTGTTATAAAGACTCAGCACTTGACACATGACACCAGCACAGCAATAATCAAGTAGATTAATGAAATAAAATGAGCATTCTAGAAAGATACATCTAACAACAATGTATCATTAAATTGATACTTCATATCAAAGAGGAAAATAAGGCTTGTTCAAATAAGGTGCATGGACGATTATTACTTGAAATAAAACAAATATAGAGCCCTATTTCACACATTATACAAAAAATATTCAGGTGAGTTAAACATCAGTATGGAAAATCTAAGGAGTTTTAGGAGAAAATACAAAATAATATTTCTCTTACCCTGAAGTAAAATATTCAAACCCAGAAGCTATAAATTATTGACAATATGACTATATTAAACATTTCAGACTATACAGTAAAATACATATAAAAAAAGTTAAAGGACAAGTTATAGACTAGGAAAGTATTTGCAACACATCTAAAAAAAGGGTTAATAGATTCTTGGGGTTTTTTTTTTTAGGGAAAAACTTCTACAAATATTGAATCAAAAAATAAAGATACCAAACAATAAACAATACCAAAAAGTCATTTGAAGGTTTTTTTTAAATAATAGAAATAGGCAAGAAATATACAAAAACAGGCTTAGTTTCAACAAATAAACACTTAAAATAACACATCATTGTCACAATCAGATTAGTATGTGTTAAAAGTAAGTATAAAAAATACGTGGTAATATCAAGTATTGGTGACTGTGAAAGGAACTAGGTATTCATAGACTCTTTTTCTTCATCTTCTGAAAGCAGTCCCTTTAGTATATCTTGTAGTGCTGGTTTCATGGAGGTGTATTCTTCTAGCCTTTTTTTTTGTCTGGGAAACTCCTTACTTCACCTTCCATTTTAATTGAGAGCCTTGCTGGGTGGAGCAGTCTTGGGTACAGGCCTTTGCTTTTCATTACTTGGAATATTTTTGCCATTTCCTTCTGGCTTGCAGAGTTTCTTTTGAGAAGTCAGCTGCTAGCCGTATCGGGGCTCCCTTGTATATTACTACCTGTTTCTCTCTTGCTGCCTTTAGGATTCTCTGTCTTTGATATTTGCCATTTTAATGATGATGTGTCTTGGAGTGGGCCTCACTGGGTTCCTCTTGAATGGGACACTCTGTGTTTCCTAGGCTTGTGTGACATTTTTCTCCTCCAAT